GATCTACAGAGATTGAGCCAGGACTATGTAGAAAAACCCTATCTTGCAGGGCAGTGGTGGCTCATGCCTTTAATCTCAGCACTCTAAATAGAGGCACGTGTGTCTTTGTGAGTTCTTGGCCAACCTGGTCACTCTACAAAGAGAGTTCCGGATAGACTCCAAAGCTACAGAGAAACCCTATCTTAAAAGAAAAAAAAAGAAAGAAAGAAAGAAAGAAAGAAAGAAAGAAAAAGAAAAAGAAAAAGGAAAACCCTGCCTTGGGAGGGGGAGGGAATATTGGAAATTCAAGCCTAACATAGACTACAAATTGTATTCAAGTTCATGTATCCCAAGACTAACTTGGAATATAAGAAACCCAGTCTCAGCAGGTACCAAATGTCTTTAATGCCAGTACTTACTTGGGAGCCAGAGGCAAGTGGATCTCTGAGTTCAAGGCAAGCCTTGCTATAAAGTAAGTTCCAAGACAGCCAGAAATACAGAGAAACCTATCAAAAAAAGAAAAAAAGAAAAAAAAGCCGGGCAGTGGTGGCAAACACTTTTAATCCCAGCACCTCGGAGACAAAGGCAGGCAGATCTTTATGAGTTAGTGAGTTAGAGACCAGCCTGGTCTCCAAGAGCTAGTTCCAGGGCAGACTCCCAAACTCCAGAGAAACCCTGTCTTGAAACTGCCCCCCCCAAATAATAAAAGTAAATCTTTAAACATGAAAAGATATATATGTTATACTTGAACAGTGCTACTAGAAATCACAATTATCTAATGATAACTAACGATTGTTAAGCATCTCTATATAATAGATTGTTGTGGGAAAATCTTTTTGTAGACTGAAATTTTGTAGATTGATTGGTTTAATAAAGATCTGAACAGCCAGTAGCTAGGTAGAAGAGGATACGGGAACTTCCAGGCAGACATAGAAACTCTGGGAAGAAGAAAGGCAAAATTCCACAGCCAGAAATGGAGGAAATGGGACATACTGTACTGAGAAGAGGTAACAAGCCATGTGACAGAATATAGATTAATATAAATGGGTTAGTACAAGTGTAAGAGCTGGTGTGAACAAGCCTAATAATTAACAAGAAGTCTTGGTGTCTTTATTTGGGAGCTGGCAGTCTAAAGAAAGTCAGACTACAATAGGTTCTTGACATAGACCATCTCAGTTAAACCTCACAAATCCATTACATGGTCATTCTTTAATTTTACTGAGTTAAAGTAAGATTTAAAGAGGTCAAATAACAAGCTACCCAAGGTCACTCAATTAACAAATGGCAGAACCTCAAGTTAGCCTCAATCATCCTACTTTGTGCATTTCTTTCTTTCTTTTTTAGGAAGAGGGTCTTTTTGCTGTGTAGCAAAGGTTGTCCTTGAACTCAAGATTCTCCTGCTTCACTCTCCACAGTGCTAAGATTACGGGTATGCTTCATGACACCCAACTTTAAGCAATCTGTGTACATCACAGCACCACCCACATAGTTGAGGTTGTTTACTTCTTCCTCTCTGCCATCAAGATGCTCTCAAGAAAACCATTCATTCTTTCTTTCATTCAACAATATTTAGTGAGTGTTTCTTATGTGCCAGACCTCGTGCTAATTGCCAGAAATACAACTTGAATAAGACAGAGATTTCTTGGGCATGGTGGCACGGATCTATAATCCTAACACTTGAAAGGTGGAGACAGGAAAGATAAAAAACTCATGGGCAATCTCAGCTACACACTGAGTTTAAGGCCATTCTGGGTTACCCAAAAAGAAAGGAAGGAAGTAAGCAAGTAAGCAAGCAAGCAAGCAAACAAGGAAACAAGAGTCATCCTTTTTGTTTTGTTTTATTTTTGTTTTTTGAGACAGGGTATCTCTGTGTAAAAAATCCTGCCTGTCCTGGAGCTCACTGTGTAGCCCAGGCCAGCCTGAGAACTCACTGGAATCTGCCTGCCTCTGTCTCCCAAGTGCTGGGATTGAAAGTGTATACCACCACTGCCTAAAAACAAGAGTCATCTTAAGGCAGTGGCTCACCACCAAGCCTGATGGAAGGAGAGAACCAAGAGGTATATCATGACACAAAATAAATGGGAAAAATTGAAAACAAACAAAATAGAAACAATTGTTTTGTGCCTTTATGTGGCTGGCTACTGGTATTCTAATGGCTGAAACAGGAATAGACACAAACAAGCAATTAGGAAATTTTGATGTGGTGGCACTTGGGAGATAGAGTTAAGGTTAGGAGTTCAGGTCATCCTTAGCGCCACAACAAATTTCAGGCCATCCTGAACTACATGAAGCCTTATTACAAAAAGAACAGCAAATACACCCTCCCCCAAACAAGGTGCTTGCTTACCATGCTAGAGGCCTTACAATGTAAATGAATGAATGAATAAATAAATAAATGACAACAGGGCAGTCTTGTCTTTATACCAAGTTATAGACCAGCCAAGGCATCATAGTGAGTGCTTATTTCAGAGAGAAAGAGAGAGACAGAGAGATAAAGAGCAATAAAAATATCAGATATAGTGGTGAATGCCTGTAGTTCCAGTTATTTGAAGTGGCTGAGGCAGGAGCCCCTCTTAGGTCTAAGATGCAAGACAAGTCTAGGGAGTGAAGAAAAATCCCTTATCTCAAAACTTATTTCAAAAGTAACAAAAAAGGTAGGGAAAGATAATGTTACAAATGAGAGCAGGAAGGGGAAGAGGGTGGAAAGAATTTGTGAAGTTATATATAACTGGATAAAAGGGACTAACTTGTGAAATAAATAGGCAAGAACATCCTTGCAGGTTTCTGGCTTATGGTCAAGACTTACGAAACTCTCTATCCTAGACACCAAGTTCAGGGATTGATTGACATTTCTTATGTATCTATCATCATTATTTTTGCAATAATTTTAGCTCGGGGCCTGTTGACTGAAAAATACAAACTCTATCACAAAGTTCAGAACATACTCCTTTTATTTTATTCTTCAAGATTTCCTTACAGGTGGTGGAGGTGGATTAGTGGTTTTGAGAGTAGCTTTTTTCCCAGCAGCCACGTTGGGTCTCAAAACCGCCTGTAACTCCACTTCACATACGTTCACACAAAAATAAACTTAGAGCCAGGCATTGGTGACACATGCCTTTAACCCCAGCATGAGGGAGGCAAAGGCAGGTGGATCTCTGTGAGTTCAAGGCCAGCCTGGTCTATAGAGCTAGGACAGGCTCCAAAGCTACAGAGAAATCCTGTCTTGAAAAACCAAAATAAATAAACAAACAAATAAACTTAGATTTACTTTCAAAAGTAAGTAAGAAAGTTGATGGCTCAGGAACTATGAGCTCTGGCTGCATTTCTAGAGGGCCTGGTTCAGTTCCTAGCATCTATATGTTGACTCACAACTATCTGTTATTCCAGTTCCAAGGGATCCAATGAGCTCATCTGGCCTCCACTAGCACTGTACATACATTGTACACGGATATATGTGGAAGAGTATATATATATACATATATATATATATATATACATACATATATATATATATATATATATATATATGTTGTGGGCTCCAGGGCAGCCAGGGGTATAAGAGTGAGACAGTGTCAAAAAAAAAAAAATAAAAAAGATTTATTTGTATGTAGGTATGTGCCATGGGAGGGCCTGGTGCCAAAGGAGGGCATCTGCCTTCCCACATCTATTGTTACAGGCAGCAGTTGTAGGTCAGGTCCTCTACATGAGCAGCAAGTGCTTTTAACCCCTCAGTCAGTCATATCTCCAGGGATGGAAGTTTTTTGTTGTTGTTTTCCAAAATTTTTTCTTCCTCCCTTATTTACCTGTGTGTGTGTGTGTGTGTGTGTGTGTGTGTGTGTGTGTGTGTGTGTGTAAGACACACGGATATCACATGAATGAATGTGGACTTGCAGGTGTTTTCTCCTTCTATCATGTGGTTCCCAGGCCATAGTGGCAAATGCTTTTACCCATGTTGTGGTCTGGTATATCCTAAGGTGACAACTCTTGACTTCTTTTCTGTTACTCCCCTCTGCCCTATCTTATTTATCTTAGAATGTAGTCCTGGCTGTCCTGAAACTCCCTGTATAGACTAGGCTGGCCTTGAACTCAGAGATCTGAGGACATCAATTACTCCACTGGAGTACTGGGATTAATGATATGCCTGATGGTACCCAATTTCTTTATAGAGACAGGGTATCATTATATAACCATGGCTGGTCTGGAACTCCTTGTGTAGACCAGTTGGGTCTTGAGCTCCTGCCTCCTAAATATTAGGATTAAATCCATCACATGTAGCCTAGATCAGAGGTCTTTAAAAGTAGATGCCATGGTGTCATTTTGAGTTTCCCTCAGGCTCAGGCTCAGGCTCAGCCTAGTGAATGGGATTACTGGGATGAATCTTCATTTTGTAAAATAATATGTAAATAAAGGTAAAGTAAATTTGGCGAAATATTAACACTGAATGAAGATGAAAAGTATTTAGGAATTCATTATTACAATGATTCTGGCTTTAAACTTTCAGTGTTTGAAAAAGTTATATTTTAAGAAGGAAAAGTTGGAAAGAAGCTATGTTAGAATTCTAGATACTTGAACTAAACCTTGTTGTGAAAACAGAAAAACAAATTCAAGATATATTTTGAAAGTTGAAATCACATGACTTGCTCATAGACTGGCAACTCGGTTGCTGAGAGCCACCAGTATAAACAGACAAAAAAAAAAAAAAAAAAGAAAGAAAAAAACACCGGAAGCCAAGGCAAGCTCCACCCTTCCCTGCCCTTCCTTTCCCTTCCCGAGAGGGAAGTGAGGCAAGAACGCGACCAGCTGGACTCACGCACGTTTCCGGTCTAGTGTCGCAAAGAGGCTGTAAATCCGAGGACATCCTTAGGTCCCACCAATAATAGGCGGGCCCCTGCGAACATCTGACCAATAGTGAGCGAGATGGCGTGCGCTAGCCCAATGGTCCCGCAGTGGGTGGAGCTTGTGATAGGGGTTGGAACCCTGGAGTTGGCGTTTCGGTCCACGTGGGGAGCTACGCGGTAGATCGGGCTTGAATCCCGAGTGCGGGAGAGGGACCTACTGTGGAGATGGGGCCGGCCCCCGCCGGAGACCAGCTACGCGGAGCAGCTGGGGAGCCAGAGGTTAGTGATCTCAGTAGGTGAAAGAGAGTTTCAAAATGTGCTTTCTTGGCTACAGAGTCTGAGATAGTAGTCAGGCCTGACAGCTAGCTTGTGAGGGACTTAAGGGCGGCCGATTCTGGAGGAATCTCATTTCCACTATTTTTCCAACCTAGGTCACTGAGAAAAGATTTTTAGGGAAGCTAGGTCTAGCAAGATCTGAATAGATCAGGAATGGAGATGATATTTTAAAAAGCCCTACGCCTGTCTCAGCAAAAGAATTGTGGTACCTGGAAATAGGAGGGCTTTGGGGCACTGCTTAAGGCGGTGAGCGGTAAACTGACTTGGCCAGGCAGGACTGCAGACTCGTGCAGAGTCATTCCGATGATGGATATCCTGAGCTTTATAAAATCTGATGCCCACTGAAAAGTTTCTGCCTGGATACTACCTGGATAAGCCTCTTCGCTGCAGCAGCAATCCAAACCAGACCAAATCAAACTGAAATAGAAGTCCACGTTTAATGGATGCAACGCTCCCCGATGGCCTTCCTGCCTGGGCCAAGGTGAGCCCACAGAAGGTCCTCCAGATAACGCCAGCACCTGCATTAGCTCTTGGGACATCCGTATTGGTACCACCTTTCCAGGCTCAAGCGGGCACCTCTTTAGGATACTTGATCTGTCCAGCAGCAGGGACTCGCCAGTTTTCCAGGATGTCACAATGAAGGACCTAGCTGCTATTCTTGACAGATTTACCTTTGTCAGTACAATTAGGACAGGTGTTAATTATCTATTTTTCTTCTAGCAACCTGCTTTCTCCCCCTAAGGAACAGATGCCTGAGGTTTCCAGGATGGCAACCAACTAGATGCTTCCCCACCCACCACCTCCTGCTGAGCCTGAACCCACCAATTTCTGACTTTGCCCCTCTCCCACATCATATCTTGTTAGCAGGAAGAAGCCAGACACGAACCGGTGTCCATATCCCCACAGAGTCTGGGATGTTATTTTTGGAAGTTCCACCTAAGCCCCGCTCTCTTATCCCTCTAAACCCTGCTGCATCTCAGAAAGCCTGCCAAATGATGGCCCCTCCCCAAGAGATGCTCAAGACCACTCCCACAGGGTATTTAAACTGTCCCCAGAGAATAGACATGGTTTTCTGGTCTCTCCCTTCTCCTCTCTGGGGGTGGGAAGGCCATCTGGGAGCGCTGTGTCTGTTAAATGTGGGCTTTTTCTAATTCAGTTTGATTTGGTCTGATTTGGATTGCTGCATCTGGTGGAGAAGCTTATGGAATGCAGAAACTTTACTTTCACACCGAAAGGGAGGAACTAGAGTAGATGAAGCTTTTGCCCACAACCTTTAGGCAACTGGTGTAGATACCCACGATTTCATGTTGACTTTCCCCTCTCTGGCCATAGGTTTTGGAACTTGCCCTAGAAGGCGTCAGCAAGGAGAAGGCCACTTCAAGAAAGCGTGCAAAAGCTGAGCCTCCAGCAGAAGGCCTCCTGCAGCCAGTGAAGCTCAGTCGGGCAGAGCTGTACAAGGAGCCTACAAATGAGGAGCTAAATCGCCTTCGGGAGACTGAAATCTTGTTCCACTCCAGCTTGCTTCGTTTACAGGTACTTGGGTGACCAGGGCATAGATTAGAGGGGTTTCCTTGGGGTTCTGAGGCTGACAGTCTCCCCTTTCCTCTCTTACAGGTGGAGGAGTTACTGAAGGAAGTGAGGCTCTCGGAGAAGAAGAAAGAGAGGATTGACACTTTCCTGAAGGGGGTCAACCTGCGGGTGCAGCGAGTGCCCTCAGTACCGGAGACCGAGGTGAGTTGATGGCCAGGGAACAGCGAGGCATCTGACACACTTTGCTGTTCTCCCAAGAGAGTGGGATGCTGGGGAAGTCATTCTCGCTGCAAGAAAACTGAACTAGGTCACTAGCCATCCATGTATTAATCACTCAACAACCATATGTATGTATGTCTTGCACAAATTGTATAGGAGTTTGTTGGTTTACTTAAACAGGGTCTTATGTAGCCCTGGTTGGCCTTGAACTCCTCTAACAGTCCTGGCACAGCTCCCAAGGACTGAGATTGAGGGTCTGAGCCAAATTTTATTTTTTGTTTTGTTTTTTGATATTTCGAGATGTTTTGGTTTTTCAAGACGCGGGTTTCTCTGTGTAGCTTTTAGCCTGTCCTGGCACTTGCTCTATATACCAGGCTGGCCTCGAACCCATAGAGTTCACCTTCGTCTACCTTGTGAGTGCTGGGATTAAAGGCATATTCTACTACCACCTGGCCACATTTTGTTTTTTAACACAGGGTCTTAACTCTGTAACCAATGTAGTCCTCAGACTAGTGGCAGTTCTCCTACTTCAGTCCCCTGAGTGCTGGGATTGTAGTTGTGAACCTTAACTTCCAACCAAGTATGGATATTTTATTTTATGTATTTATTTACTGGGACAGGGTCTGGTATAGTCCAGGCTGTCCTTGAACTTGATTACTGTATAGTCAAGGGTGATCTTGAACTTGTGATCTTTCTGCTTTCCCAAATGCTGGGATTAGAGGTGTGTGTCACCATTCCTAATGTGAAGTAAATCATGGTGTTTTAAATGTTTTTGTCAATTAAGTTGTCTTCATGGAGATGGTGTTTATGGAAGATTGAGTTAGTTTTTAACATACTGGTATGTTGTCTATAGACAATTGGGGGTTTCCTCTCTGTTCTCACAGCTCTCTGACCAGTCATGGCTCCCAGCTGGGGTTCGAGTGCCCCTTCACCAAGTTCCCTATGCTGTGAAGGGTTCCTTCCGCTTCCTGCCTCCTTCCCAGATCACTGTCGTAGGCAGCTACCTTCTGGGTACTTGCATCCGACCAGATATCAATGTGGATGTGGCACTGACCATGCCCAGGGTAAGGCCGTGGTTTGGGGGATATAGAGGTCACCACTCTGCGTGTAGCCTAGATGGACCCTTGATCCAGTTACCATCCTTTTGGGATTTTGCGGTCTATCTGGAAATTAGATGTGTCGCACCTATTGGTTTGGGCGCTCCTGAGTCAATGAAGACGCCCTGGGACTTAAACCTAGCTTCATCCTAGCGCTGTAAGCTCTTACGTGTCTAACTTCCCACTTCTTCCCTGACTCCTCCAGGAAATCTTACAGGACAAAGATGGGCTGAACCAGCGATACTTCCGCAAGCGAGCTCTCTATCTAGCTCACCTAGCTCACCACCTGGCCCAAGATCCCTTCTTTGGCAGTGTTCGATTCTCTTACACCAATGGCTGCCACCTGAAGCCCTCGCTGCTGCTGCGGCCACATGGTGGGAGTCACACACTGGGTTTAGTGCACAGTATGGGATGGCAAATGTGGAGGGGGAGCACAAGGTCTGAAAAGTCTAGAGGAGTAGAAATAGAAGCCTTAAGGCCAAGGTGAGAGGCATGGGTGTCAACTTCGGCGGTGGGAAGTTGTGGGTCCCCGAGTATGAGGGGGTGGTAAGGGGGTCCCTGTGGTTCCAGCAGTTGTAGAATGTCAGTATTCCTTGTCTGCCCAGGGAAGGATGAGCGCCTGGTCACGGTGCGTCTGCACCCGTGCCCTCCTGTGGACTTCTTCCGCCCTTGCCGCTTGCTGCCAACCAAGAACAATGTGCGGTCTGCCTGGTTCCGAGAGCAGAGTGCTCCGGAGAGTGGTGAGTGGAGATGTTGGTAGACGGGTGTGGTGGGGGCTTCATTCCTCACAGCCTCTAGTTTTTTTTTTTTTTTTTCCTCGACAGCTAGCCCAGAGCCCCCTACACCCCACTATAACACATGGATCCTGCAGGATACAGCTCTTGAATCTCAAATGCACCTGCTGTCAACTGTATTGGGCTCTGCCCAGGGGCTGAAGGACGGTATAGCACTTCTGAAGGTTTGGCTGAGGCAGCGGGAGCTGGACAAGGTGAGTTGTCCCCTCACCCCATGGTGACAGAGGTAGGGGTGTGTGTGTGTGTGTGTGTGTGTGTGTGTGTGTGTGTGTGTGTGTGCGCACGCACGCGCGTGCTTCTGAACTCAGCGCTTCTGAACTCAGTTCTGTCCTGTCTCTTTCAGGGCCTGGGCGGATTTAATGGATTCCTTATCTCCATGCTAGTTGCCTTTCTCGTGTCTAAACGCAAGATCCATACTACCATGAGTGGCTACCAGGTCTTGAGAAGTGTCTTGCAGTTTCTGGGTAAGGCAGCTAGACTGGAAAGGCCCGGGGTCCCACCTCCCCAGGGGTCCTCTCATTCCATCAGAGCTCCTTTAATTCCTTGTCACCAGACAGATGAGAAAAGCTGGATCTGAGTCATGCGGGGTGTAGCCACCCCGTCGGAGGAAGGGAGGGAGGGAGGTTGTCACTGTGGCTGGGTCCCACGAGGGACCTTCTAACACCACCTGCCTTCTCTGGTTCACTCTAGCCACTACAGATCTGAGGGTCAATGGAATTAGTTTATCTCCCAGTTCGGATCCTTCCTTGGTGAGTTAGGGAGGGGCAGGTCTGTCCCAGGAAGCCTGAAGGTAAAGTTCAGCCCTCATCTGCTTCTCTCTGCCTCCCAGCCAGCGCTGGCTGACTTCCACCAGGCTTTCCCAGTTGTGTTCCTGGACTCCACAGGCCGCCTCAACCTCTGTGCTGATGTCACAGCTTCCACTTACAACCAGGTACCAATGGGCTCCTGTTGCTGCATCCTCCAGAGGTCCCAGCTCAGACACTGTTACTTTGTTGGTACCAGAGCCTCACACACTCCTCTCCAGAGAAGTACGAAATGGTCAGATGTGACCCTTTTAGCCATTGAGGGTTACAGCTATGGTCCCTACTTTACCCTGTGGCCCAGGTGCAGCACGAGGCACAACTGTCCATGGCCTTACTGGACAGCAAAGCTGATGATGGGTTCCAGCTGCTCTTGATGACTCCCAAGCCCATGGTACGGGCTTTCGACCACATTGTCCAGTGAGTTTGGGGCTAATAGAGGGTATGGGTCATTAGGGAAGAGGAGTCAAGGACCTAGTGGGTCCTGATTGGTTCTCTTTGTCCTCTGCCCTCCAGTCTCCGTCCACTGAGTCGTCTGCAGGCAGCATGTCACCGACTAAAGCTTTGGCCAGAGCTGCAGGACAATGGTGGGGACTATGTTTCAGCAGCTTTAGGCCCGCTAACCACAATTTTGGAGCAGGGTCTTGGGGCCCGACTGCATCTGCTGGCTCACTCTCGGCGCCCAGTCCCAGAGGTGAGACCATGTAGAAAGGGGAGTTTGTGGGGTCAAGGGACACAAAAGACAGGCTGCCCAGCTGGTTGGTTTCTAGACCAGGCTGGGGGACTTTGAGGTTGATGTCAACCTTTTTATATCCTACAGTGGGGTATCAGTGAAAATCCACCGAAGCATAAGGACGCTGGGACCCTGACCCTGGGATTGCTTCTCCGGCCTGAAGGACTGACCAGTGTTCTTGATCTTGGTCCTGAGGCTGACCAGCCTGAGGTGTGCAACCTCAGCCTGCCCGTGGGAAGGAGTGGGTGGGTCAGCCTGTGTTTTTACCTCAGTGCTTAGAATTGAGCTTAGGGCTTTGAGCGTGTTATTAGGCGAGGCCTCCACCGTTGTGCTACACCCCAGCTCAGTCTGTCTTTCCTGATCCTTCTTCCCATCCTTTGCTTCTCCCCAGGCTGCTGACTTCCGTCAGTTCTGGGGATCCCGCTCAGAACTTAGACGTTTCCAGGATGGAGCCATCCGGGAAGCTGTGGTCTGGGAGGCGGCCTCTATGTCTGAGAAGCGCCTTATTCCTCAGCAGGTGGTCACCCACCTCTTGGCACTGTGAGTGTTAGCATCTTCATGCCAGAAGACTACTGTGGTCAGGGCAGCCATTTTCAGTGGGCATATTCCCTAATGACTTTATTCTGTCTGTGTTCAGCCATGCTGACATCCCAGATACCTGTGTCCACTATGTGGGTGGTTTCCTCGACACATTGATCCAAGGCCCAAAAGAGGTGAGAGCCTGGGGTCTAAGCGAGTGGTTGTGGAGTAACCTCATGGCGAGATCAGAAAGAACCCTTTCCACCACAGCTGTGCTTCATCTTCTTGTGCCCAGCAGGGGGTGCACTGGTCCTTCAGTAGCCTGAGTCATGGCTGGCGCTTTGTAAGACCTAGCCTTCTTCCTGAGTGTCTTCTCTTCATCAGATCTCCAACACAGGTGAAGAGGCCCTGGCATTGGCCGTGCGTTGCTATGATGACCTCAGCCGCCTGTTGTGGGGGCTGGAGGGTCTCCCGCTCACTGTGTCTGCCGTTCAGGGAGCTCACCCAGTGCTGCGCTATACAGAGGTAAGGTGGGGGTTCTTTCCAGTTGGCGCCTCCCCCCACACTCCCTTTCCCTCCCCCTTCCTCCTGTCTGTAGGCTCTCCCTCCATGTTAGATGTCATCCTCATTTCTTCTACAGGTATTCCCTCCGGCCCCAGTTCGACCTGCCTGTTCCTTTTATAAGCATCACCAAGAGCGGGCCTCACTGTTGCCCCGGCTGGATAAGCCCTGCCCAGCCTATGTGGAGCCTATGACTGGTAAGAGGGCATTTGGGAGGGAGTGGGAAGGGCAGCAGGCTGCAGTATTAGATCTGTCGCCCCTTCTATTCTTCAGTGGTTTGTCACCTGGAGGGCAGCGGGCAGTGGCCTCAGGATGCGGAGGCTGTTCAGCGAGTCCGAGCTGCCTTCCAGCTGCGCCTGGCAGAAGTTTTGACACAGCAGCATAGGCTACAGTGCCGAGCTACTGCCACACACACTGATGTCCTCAAGGTCAGGCTGGTGCAGGGTGGGAAATCACCAAGAATGGGATCCAGGGATGCCAGGGTGTGCGAGGGGATAACCCTGTGGGTAGTGTGCTGGGGGACCAGGGAGGCAGGCAGTCCAAGTGTTCTACATCACTTTCTGTGCCACATCTTCCCACAGGATGGGTTTGTGTTCAGAATTCGAGTGGCCTATCAACGGGAGCCACAGATCCTTAGGGAGGTACGGAGCCCTGAGGGCATGATCTCTATGAGAGACACACCTGCCTCCCTCCGCCTTGAGCGAGACACCAGGCTGTTGCCCCTGCTCACCAGTGCCCTGCATGGGTAAGGCTACATGTATAAGATCTTATTGGATGTAGGGCTTCTCCTGCCCCCATTCTGCTCTCCTGCCTAACAAGCTCTCTGAGAGGCTAGACAGCATAATACCTCATTTGTAAAATGGTAATTACATTAGTAACAGTCCTCCAGGTATTTGCTAGGAGAGCATGCCATGACCTCTGTGACACGTTAGCACGGAGGACAGTGTTGGGCAGAGGCTAGATGACAGTCGCAGTGGGCTGACACACTGTTTAGGGCCGAGTACCTGGGTCTCACTACCATACCCTCCTCTTCCAGACTGCAGCAGCAGCACCCAGCCTTCTCAGGTGTGGCTCGCCTGGCCAAGCGGTGGGTGCGTGCCCAGCTCTTGGGTGAGGGATTCACTGATGAGAGCCTGGATCTGGTGACCGCTGCCCTCTTCCTGCACTCTGAGCCCTTCAGCCCTCCCAGGTAATCCCTCCGACAAGTCCCTTACCTAGGGAAGTTGCCCTTCCTGATGCAGTTTCTCTAAACGGAGGAGGCTGGTTGAGTACCTGATAGAGGACATTCTCAGACACCTAGACCTCCCACAATCTACACTAAGGGATTATGGGAAGCTCGGTGGGGACATCAGGCCCCAGATTCTTTCTCATTCTCTCTACTCAGCTCCCCTCAGGTTGGCTTTCTTCGGTTCCTTTACCTGGTGTCTACCTTTGATTGGAAGAACAACCCTCTCATTGTCAACCTCAATAGCGAACTGACTGGTGAGTGGTGGGACTCCGGTCAGACCACTGGAAGAACTCCCGTCTATAGATTGCACAGTAAGGCAGGCAAGGTCTCCCTGGAATTCTGTCAGGGAAGCCTCCTGCCTCCCAGATGTCTAAGCCTAACTGTCTTGGGGAAGAGAGTTGTCAGAAGGAAGAGGCCTGTATCAAGTCTGGGCTTAGAGAGCTTTGCCTGTGTGGTGGTCCTTGACAAAATGGACTGGGATGGTGAGCAAGTCACCAGGGCTGTGAAGAGAGGGGAAGAAGGGTTCTTGTGTATTAGGTGAGAGGTCTTGTGGGGTGGGGGTGGGGGGCGGGAAGTTAGACTAGGTGCCCACACCTTGCGGGTGGAATTGTTGATTTCCCATTGTAATCTTAGGAGCTCTGGGTCTCAGCAGAGAGCAGGGTGTCGGGTTCCTAATTCTCCAGGTGTGTGAGAGCCCAGGATAAGGGGGGCCTTGGGCAGGCCTCAGCTTGTGCAAGCCAGAGACTAGTCTGGGGGTGACAAGCAGTGGAAAACTCTGCCTCTGGGTTGTAGCTGGGAGATTAACACCCCACCCCGTTAAGGCCCATGTGGTGTCCCCTTTGTAACCTTTGTCCTTTGGGAGAGGGGTACTGGAAAATCACTGTGATGAGCAGTTGCTGGTTACATGGTGGGAGGACCTGGGGGTGCAATAAAGGTCTTTTGGGGAGGCTGATGTAGCATCGCCTGTCATCTCTAGCTGAGGACCAGGTAGAAATTCGAAGTAGTTTCCTGGCAGCTCGGACACAACTCCCAGTCATGGTCATCATTACCCCCCAGGACCGCAGAAGCTCTGTGTGGACACAGGAGAGACCCTCTGCCCAGGTTCAACCCCATACCTGTCCCTACATTCATTTATTTATTTTTTATACTGAGAAGAAAAGCATGGTCAATCTTGTGACTTTTGTGCCCCAGATCCTTCAGCAGCTCGTGACCCTGGCTGCTGAGGCCCTCCCTGTCCTAGAGAAGCAGCTGATGGATCCCCGGGGGCCTGGGGACATTAGGGTAAGCATCAGACTCAGGGTATCTCCTAGGGCTGGAAGTCCACAGTTCAAGGGCTTCCCCGGGTGCCCAGTTGCTCTGTTTGGTGAGACACAATACAGAGAAGGCTTTGAAGCTTCCGTGGTGCCTGGCAGTGGTGGAACCTGGTGGAAATCCTGGGTGTCCTTTCACTTCTGGGCTCAAGCTTGTCCTGGCTGCTTTCCTCTGTGGGGTTTGCTGTTATCACCTTTCTGTGGGCACTCAAGCCCATAATGGATGGCCAGATGGCGTGGCAATGAGGTACGTGGAAGGGTAACTTAAAGACTTCCTTAGACAGTGTTCCGGCCGCCCTTTGACATGTACGATGTACTGATTCACCTGACTCCTCGCCACATTCCTCGGCACCGTCAGGCTGTGGACCCTCCAGCTGCTTCCTTTTGCCGTGGTCTGCTCAGTGAGCCAGGGCCTTCATCTCTGATGCCTGTCCTGGGCTATGATCCCCCTCAGCTCTATCTGGCACAGCTCAGGGTAAGTTCTGAAGGACTGGCTGGTTTAGGGAGTGTTCAGTGGAGCTAGAGCCCTGGAGGTGGTCCTAGGTGCCTGTTGTAATCTTGCTTGTCTTCTGTCCCTTCTAGGAGGCCTTTGGTGATCTGGCACTTTTCTTCTATGACCAGCATGGTGGGGAGGTGATTGGTGTCCTCTGGAAGCCCACCAGCTTCCAGCCCCAGCCCTTTAAGGTATGCTGATCGGTGACTCGTGTTGCTGAGAGTGTACATGTGCTTCTCTGGGGTACGCATTTCTGTGTGGCCCTGGGTCAAGAATGTGTAGGGACTCATATGCCTGTCTACACTGCCCCCAGCCTTGATCTCAGTGTGTGCCTTTGTGATACTTAAGCTCAAATTTATTCTCTGATTCTTTAGGCCTCCAACATAAAGGGACGCATGGTGGTGTCTCGAGGTGGGGAGCTTGTGATGGTTCCCAACATAGAAGCAATCCTGGAGGACTTTGCTGTGTTGGGTGAAGGCCTGGTACAATCTGTAGAGGCCCGAAGCGAGAGGTGGACTGTGTGATTCCAACTTCGTAACAAGCAGTAGGTGGACCATGGGACTTTGGACTTCCAGGGCAGCATGTCAGTGGGCAGCCACTGTGGTATGGACACCCGCTGGCCAGAGCACACTGATCATCCCCAAAGGAAGCCCTGGCAGACTCGGGCAGGGGCCTTGGTGTCCTGTGTCCCCTAGACCTGACCAACCAAACTCCCTAGAAGAGGAGGAACCAGCTCAGATGGAACTGAATCCACAAGATCCATTTGTCTGTCAGTCCTGAGTCAGCCAGAACTGTTTTCTTCAGTTTTGATTTTCTCTCTATCTTCGTCTTCCCGAAACAGTTAAAGGACCTGTACCTGCCTGGTGTGGAGGCCAGGTCCTCCTTGCACTGGCAGGACGTACGCGCCTGGGTAATAGTGTGCTTTCAGGCCTTTAGATAGGACCCCAAAGGAGTTACGGCCCTTACTGAGGGTCACAGTACCAGCACTAAACAGTGGGAAGGGGACTGTGTGTGTGTATGAATAGAGTCCATTAAACAAGCACAGTGCCTTCTTGTGTAAGTGCTGTTGCCTCCCAGCATACTGACAGTGGAAAAAGAGATGTAGACCAGACAGGGCTTGGATGTGTGGATTTGAGAGGGATCCTCCAGCCCAGAGGCTAGGCAACGGTATCCATAAAGCACTGGATTCTGCTGCCTAGCCTCTCAGTGTGAGCCCTACCCAGCCTATGGTTCCCCATTACTGTGCTACACACCTGCACTCCAGGAGCTCCGAGGGAGGCAGGATGCAGCCTCTTAGCCTGATCCACATCCCCTTCTGGCAGCCACTCCCTGCTTTTCTCCCCTAATCCTGGCTGTTTTTTTTTTTTTTTTTTTTTTTTTTTTAGACTCAGCTCAAATAACACCCCTCCTAGTCCCTGCCCTCACCCCCAGCCTGAGGTGTTCTTTCCCTCTTGTGAACTGTAAATGCCATTGCTTCTTGTTGAGTTCACTTGGCAGGCACGCATACCGGTGTGTACCTTCCATTGTCTTCATGCTTTCTGGGCACCTGACTTGTCTTTTCTCTGGTTTTAGTCTGCCCTGTGAGAAAGCTCCATGAGAACAGAGAACATGTGGAACTCAGATGACGTGGTGCTCCTCTCTGGGGAGAGACGGATATATGTAAAAGGAGTACCTAAGCTGGGTGATGATGACACACGCCTTTTTAAAAATGGCTCAGCAGTTAAGAGCACTGACTGCTCTTCCAGAGGTCCTGAGTTCAATTCCCAGCATCCACATGGCAGCTCACAGCCTTCTATAACTAGTCCCATGGGATACATGCACACAACGCATCCATATACACAAAATATATACATAATTAGGTCTTAACAACATATATATATATTATACTGTTATACTGCCAGGTGTTGACTTCCATACCTTTTCTTAGTCTTTTGGGACAGGGTCCTCTATAGCCCAGGTTGGCCTTGAACTTACTGTTTGGTGAGTCTGGTATTGAATTCCTGAGTCTCCTACTTCTACCTCCCATGTGCTGGGGTTATGGGTGTATGTCATTATGCTTGGCTTGGTTTTCACATTTTATGTGTAGAAATTTGGTTATATAATCATACCAACTCTATAAAGGAGGTACTTGGCCAGGCAATGGTGGCACACACCTTTAATCCCAGCACTCAGGAGGCAAAGGCAGGCCCATCTCTATGAGTTGGAGGCCAGCTTGGTCTACAGGACAGCCAGGGCTACAAAGAGACCCTGTCTTGAACCCCGATCCCCCAGAAGGAAAAAAGGTACTTGTCTCCTTTGTGAATCAGGCTCATTGCTGGGTGGGACCAGTGGTGCGGGGATTTGGATGCATGACCAGTGAGCTCCATTGTGCTGAGAAGCCACACGAAGGAAGAACTCACCTCCAGTTTTGCCTTTGTGGACTTTATCCTGTCTCGGCTGTCACTACACAGCTCAGCCCATGCTTGCCATTAGCATAGGAAATTTAACTGGTTAGAGTCTACATCTCTGTAATGTAGTCGTCTGTGAAGAAACATCTATGTGCTTTAACTCCCTTACAAAGCCCTGTAGCCCATGCCCTGGGCTTGCCGTTGCCTTGTCTCTGTCCCTTATGCCCTTGATTCCTTGGCGTGTTTCTGCACAATTCCTCTGTGGGCTCTAAGGAAAGTCAGGATTGGCAGGCCCTTTGCAAAACCATTCTTTCATCCCCAGGGCAGCTTCAGGCCCTTGTACAAACCTAGCCCTGGATGGCTCAGTTGGAGAAAGGGGTGGAGTGTGCACTGGGAGCAGGTCCGCAGCAGGTGACTCTAGGAGGTATAGGTACCAGAACCCATCGGGGGTTGGACCTCCCTTTGGCTTGGCTCACTCTTGCCATCTATAAAAAGCATATAACAATGGCTTGGTTAAGCGCCCTCTGCATGCCCAAGTGGCAAGAAAAGAGGCTGAGATCTCAGAAACCCAAGGAGCTATACCACTCCTTTTATGCACACTGCTCTTGCCTGACCCAGGGCGGGAAGCCTAAGCTTTCATTTAAACCCCTCACATAGCAGCTCCAACCTGTTTTCCTCAGATCTCCAGGAGGCAAGAAAAGAGATGGCTGCTCTGGCTCTTTGCTACAGTGCAGGATGACACTTGTTGGCCATTCATGTCTCAGTCCACAGAGGCAGCTACTCAGGAGTTGACTCAGGGTTAGAGGCAGGAGTTAGAACCTGTGGAAGGGGAAAGGGGAGAAGGGAAGGGAGGCTCCCCTCAGAAAGCCTTTGTGTGTGCTAGAGATGGTGTTGGGGGTGCATCCCCATGGGGGCATCTGCCTCTATGTGCTCCTCACTGCCGGTAAAATAGATGGGGTCATTTGATCTCTGCCATGGCATGCACACACACATACACACATTACATGCCCTAGTCTATGTGTACATAGGTTCATTTTTGTCTCCAGCACTAAGAATCACTGAAAGAGGGAAATGTGGTTTTGGAGTTCAGGAGAAGAAAGCTTTCAAGTAATTTGGAATGTGGCCTGGACTTCTCTCTCCCTGTGGCTCTGAGAGGGGATGTTCAGACTTCCAAAGTTCTGATGTTTGAATCCTCTCATTCAATGTGGTGAACCCTGAAAGTTTCCTCCTCCCTGGCTACAATACAGCTAACCTGCTCTCAATCCAAATCTTAGCTGAAGGCCCTGTTTTCCTCTTCCCAGCTCCTTACATTGGAAGAGAAAGTAGTATTCCCAGAACGCAGGGGTCTGTGAATCAGGCTACACTCAATGGAGTCCTGGAGTCAGATTTGGGCTAACTAGCCTCTCCCCAGTATACATGTCACCCCTCAACATCCGGTACTTGTGAGTCAGGGTTAATCCAGTTGAGTGATAAGGGAGAGGGGAAGCGTGGGGCACTTAGTCATCCATCCTTTTCACATGTAAGGCCCTTCTGCCCATTACCCTGCTTCAGAGAAGGAGGAGACACCTTGGATTGCCCCAGGGAACTAAGTGGCAAGTAAAGGGGCGTTACAGAGGGAGACTTCCTCTTGCTCCTCAACTTCTGAGAGGTGGGTGGGGAACACGGTTTTTCTGGTTTATATGAGGTTCGGCCATGTAAGAACTTGTCCAGGGAAACACAGGGAGTTGGGGGGAAGCTACGAGCTACTCTGGCTGTGCTGAGCCTCCCCTTTGGGCCAGGGGTGAGGTGAGATGGGTGAGGGGAATAAAGGAGAGAAAGGCCTGGGCTGTAGGTCTGTCCAGACCTGCAGGAACAAGGAGGGAAGCACCTGGCCCACTTCTGGCCTCCACCGCTTTTTCAGGCCCTGGAATACAGCTGTTCTCTCCGAGACCCAGAGGGGCAGGGACGAGGGAAGGGACAGGATGGGAGCTCAGGTGTGCCCCAGCTCAGGCCCAAACTTCTGCTCCTCAAAAGCAAGACTCGCTCTTGTCTGTTCCACAAGAAAGACAGAGCTTGAGGTTCCCACGAAGTGAGGAAGTCGACTGGGCCTTGATGAAAGGGCTGCACTGAGATCCAACCCCCTGTTCCATATGCAGATATGGTACCCTGGCCTTTCTCTAATCTTCCCTCCACAATATGACCCCCTCCCCATGATCTCAGCCCACTGACCCCAGGCCCTTAGAAGAAATCTCTGGACCCTAACTGTGGATGCTCTGATGCTCTCTTCCCTAGAGCCCTCCCCTGTTCCTCTCCCTTTGGGCAGGAGGCTGCTACCTTGTAATTAGCAGCCAGACTGGGCTGGGATGAAGAGTGACTGGGTTTCATGCAGCATATGTGTAGCCGTTTGCATGTCACATGTGGTATTTCCTTCTGTGAAGTCCCTATGAATGCGCCTACTGTTGTGAGGCCCTTCACAGAGCCGTGGTCCAGCCGGTCCCTGGTTCAGACCTCAGGTCCAGCTCCTCCCCACTCACTTCTGCCCACTTGCCTTCCTCACTCTGCCTTCTGCATCCTCTGTTCCTCAAGCCATTTCCATGCATCTGACCTCTTTTTCTTCTTTATGGTTCCCCCTAGGCCTCCTGGTTTCAGTCCCTCTCCTTCCAAGCTATCCTCCACTGAACGGTTGGTAGGGTCCATGTGCAAACGCTTTAAACCTTCACAGCTTCCATTAGCCACTGTTCTGAGGGGCGAGACATCTGTCAGAGGTCCAGGCTCTGCCTTCTGGCTTTCCTGCTCCCCACCTTGCAGCTGCATTAATTTCACACCCTCAGAGCCTGGGAGCTTAAATAAGCACAGTTCAATACATCCTTGTCCCCTCATGAGATCTAGGCTCACAGTGTAAGTCCCAAGGTGCTTCTCCAACCACCTCCCTCCCTCTCTGGCCTCTCTATGGCTGCTCTCTCCCTGCTAGACAGGCCCTTGTCTTTCACCTAGGAGTCCATGTGTTCTTCAGGAAGCCCACCAAATAGTCCAGCCCTTCTTTTCCTGGCCGTGGAGATGGAGACTGTGCCGATTCTCTTTAGTGTAGATGCAGGAAGCCTATGAGCATTCCTATCTTCTTCACTGCTGGTCTTGATCTCTCCCCTTCTGGAAGAGCCCTCTTGGCTCTAAGAGCTTTCCTGTCAGTGAGAAGGAAGGGGGAAATCAGAAAGCGGGCCTTCAGGGATCTGGTTCCTAAGAGGCAAGCTAGAGCCCTCCAGACATCCTTGACATGCTGGATTGTGTCAGCTCCATATACTAACTCCTCTTCTCCCAGTGGCTGGCATGAGGTAGGGAAAAATGCTCAGCAGTTTCCCCAGAACCTTCAACAGGTTCCACCTCACCTGTCTTTTGAGATTTTCTAAACACCAGACCCAGACCAGATCTAGGCAAGGACACGCTCAAATATGCCCATGGATACAGCATGTACACATGGATCCCCATAAACACCGACACACTGCATGACACATGACTAAGCATGCACATGGATGTACATGGATATGGGCACATGTGGCTAAAGATCCAGCTTTTGATGACACTAAGCCTGAAATAACCTTTTCTTTCTTCCTTCCTTCCTTCCTTCCTTCCTTCCTTCCTTCCTTCCTTCCTTTCTCTCAAGACAAGGTTTTTCTCTGTAGCCCTAGCTGTCCTGGAAGTCAGGCTGTAGACCGGCTGGCCTTGAACTCAGAGATCAACCTGCCTCCTAAATGCTGGGATTAAAGGTATGCACCACCACTTGGCTCTGAAATAGTCTTAAAAAAGAAAAATTGTTAATTATGTATACTGTTCTACCTGCATGTGTGCCTGCAGGCCAGAAG